ACCTCCATACCCCCTGGCACCCTGAGAATTCAGGTCAAGTAGAAAGGATGAATGGAGGAATAAAGAAACACCCTCTGAAGCTGGTGACAGAAACTCAAGATGCCATGTGTATGGCTTTTGCCATTAGCTTTGGCAAGAATAAGAGTCAAATCCGATGAAATATTCAGTTATTCCCCTTTGAACTGTTTGGGATTCTTACCCTGTTTATTTTCAATGTGGTGGGGAAGTGAAGATGTCTATTTAAATCAGCATGTGGCCAATATACTGTGTCTTGTGAAATCTCTGACAGGAAGCCCAGTTGGCACAGATGCTGCTTTTGGACTTTGTTGTTCATAACATCCAGCCAGGACTGCAGGAACAGCAGTTAGGACAGCTGAACACAGGTGGACCCATCACACTCGGGTCAAGGTCTCTAAAGCCCCAGAGATCTGGACTTCTCAACTAGAAGATAAGGATGGAAGACCTCAGCGATTAGTAGCCATAGACAAAGACCTCTAGTGATTAATGGACTAATATGAACTGTCATTTGTGGGACTCACATTCTCTGAACCTGAGAGAAGCAGTGAGAGAAGCAGAGAAAAGAATGATCAAAACAAAAAAATTCTTATCTCATTTGCTGCTTCTGTGTTGTGCCAAAGTAGAATGAAATATGGAGATTGTTTACCCAAAGTGATGGTGTTTTGTTTCCTTGGCCTATCAGGGCCAAGCGCATGTCAAGACTGTTGGTCAGCAGACAGGCACAAGATTCAGTGGAGTTGAGTGCTTGTGCAGTTTCAGTTTAGATGTAGTGTAATATAGTGTAATATAGTATAGAATAATATAGTATAATAAAGTAATTAATTAGCCTTCTGATATCAATGGAGTCAGATGCATCATTCTTCCCAGAGGAGGGGTGGCTGATTTTACAACAGGCGTTATCTACTTTATTCTCTGTATTTACTTGACACACCTTGCACAAGGACTAGGCGTAGAAAAGTCGGGAAGGGCTGTTTAAAATGTTCCAGATTGTTAAAAAGGGTTAAGCTAATAATAACTAGGCTTTGTAAAAACAAATTGATAAATAAGAAGAGGAGGGATTGAGAGGGAAGATGTGGGCTAATGCCTTTACAAACAATTTGATGGATGTTAATGTCTTTGAAATGGGTCTTAATGTTTCTACTGACTTTGGGCAGCAGATTTGTAACTGGGCTGTCCTGGGGTGACTTTATGATGCTTGGATCCCCATTTGTCTATTTAGCCCAGAAATAAGTTTTTCACCTTTAAGACTTGTTCTAAACACAAAGAAAGGGAAGAGAAGAAGCGTGGAGTTTGTTTACAGAAACTGTACTCACTCCTCCACATTCCTGCTCCTGGACTGTGTTGTCTGTGGATGGACAGACAGTGGGAGAGCTCTCCTTTGCTTTTAGTTAGTTTTAGCTAGCTGAGGCAAAGAAGTTCCCTGGACTGTGTTTTTATTTCTTTTTCTTGGAACTGTTTAAACCTGCTCTAGACCGAACACCCAGAAGAGCACTGGCAGCTCACACCTGTGGCCCACCAGACCAGGCCTGGGTCATGGCATTTCCAGCACCAGAGGGACTGATAACAGACTGAGCGAACTGAACTAGAGCCCATGAAAAGGACTTTCTGAATTTATCATCTCTTCATATTGTCAAGAGGTTTTATTGTTTAATATTGTTCATTTTTTGTGCTGGTGAATGCTTTGCCTGTTAAATAAACAGCTTTTTCCACTTTTCTCCAAGAAAATCTTTTCCCGAACCAGTTGGGGGAGGGGCCACTTGAATCTGCTTTCTAGGGGAACCCCTTCTGAGGTTTTTTCCCAAATTTGCCCTAAACCAGGACACGGGCCCAGACAGTTTGGCTCCTTAAATAGACAAGGGTCTGCACAAGCCTGAACCTCTGGACTTTGGGGGGAAAAGACAGATTCAAGGGGGGATAGGTAGTAGGTGGTTCAGGAAGGCTGTACCTTCCGAGTACCTCAGCCAATGGGGAAAGGAAGAGGGCAACATGCAGTCGGGAGTTTAGGATAAAAGGGAGGCTTGCACCCTCTGAAACCTTGTGAGAGAGAACTTCGTGGGTGTGTGCCCCAATAGACTCTCTCCATTTACTCTGGCGTTTGTGGATTTTCCTGGCAGCAAGATGGTCAGATTATATTTTCAAGGGGTTTTGCTTGGAGGGATTTTAAAAAGTAACTGTTTAGAACAGAAGGTGACATGTATTTCTTAACGTCTTTTCCCCAGCACTTCAGACGTGAACTTGACTCAAGGTGACTGCCAAGCTAGGAGCCATAAGGCTCACCCGTTCCTCAAACGAAAAGCCCGTCAGCAAGAAAAAACGCGAGTCACCGAGTCACGATGCCAGAAAGGGGAACCGGCACTTTTCTCAACAGCGCCTCGACGTGCTGCGGTTTCAGTATGCAAAGTCGACGTAGCTACACCATTTCTGAGCGTTTCCTCTCCTTCCCTCGGGCATGGCTGCAGGCAGGGAGGTTCTAAATGAGATCGAGGAACCGCTGCTGCGTGCAAAATAAAACAACTAGTTACAGATTTATTTTTAAGGGTTCCTTTTAGATATTAAGCGCCCTCCTCTCTCTCGGTCCCCTCTCACAGCCCCCAGGTGGAGTGCAGGCCTTCCCTCTGCGGGTCTGCAGTCCCGATGGGGCCGGGCTCCAGGTAGGGTCCTGCCGTCGGTCCCATAGGGCTCCCTCTATTGGAATGATGCGGCTGACTAGCCCTTTGGAAGCCAGTTGTGGGATTTTTTTGTGGTATTTTTTTTTTGGGGGGGGGAGGGGGTTGTTTGGGTGGTTTTTTTGGGTTTTTGGGTTTTTTTGTTTTTTGGGGGGGTTTTTTGGGTTTTGGGTTTTTTTGTTTGTTTTTTTGGGTTGTTTTTTTTTTTTTTTTTTTTTTTTGCGGCTGTCCTAGCCAGGGCGGGGGAGGTAGGAACAAGTTAGAAAGGTACGCGTCCCCTTTAAACACCTCCCTCTACTCCTTCCCACGTGGTGCAGGGCTGGGGCGGGGATTCTGCGATGAATCTTTCTGTCGTGGTGTAGAGGAGTCGTATGGGAAGTGAGACGTGAGTATTTATGTTCTTTTGCGTATTTTGTTAGAGCTGTTGCCGTGTTCTCTTTCCTCCACCCCCAACTGTTGGGCGCTCGGCATCTCCTGGCCTGGTGTGGGAGAAGCACGCTGGGTAACCGTGTGGTGAGGCTTTCCCTTTTCCTCGAGTGCCCACCATGCTCTGTGGGAGAAATGCCCTGTTGTGGAGCGGGAGTAGTAGCCACTGCCATGTTGGGGGGGGGCAAAGAGGATTTGAGTGAGGGAGAAAATGGTGGTGGCGAACCGCCTAGCTCTTCACCTCGCACCGGGATCAGGCCCTGCCCGCTGACGACCCCCGACTTTTTTTTTTTTTTTTTTTTTTTAATGTGTGTGTCGTGTTCTTTCCTTCACCGCCGGTAACCTGCATCCTTCTTGCTGCCACCCTGCCCTGGGAGGACCTGAGTGTTCTTACCCGCGCCCCCCTGCCGGGCCCTCGCTCCTTTCCTTTGGGGGGCAATACAAGCCGTAGAAAAGAGGAAGAGGAGAGGAAAATGGCGGCAGGCAGGCATCAGCTTATCTGGTGTTCCTAGTTCGTACTCGCTTGTCTTTCTCATGTTACTTTCCCTTGTCTTCACTTGTCCCGTCTCATTCCACCCTTCCTCTCCTCGGTGCTTCGGTGTCCTCACGCTCTGCTTGCTAGTTTCTCAAGAGAGGACACCAACCCCACCCTATTTATTTTTCCTTTAGTTTCCGCCTCCGTCTTCCTCCATATTGTTACTCTCCCTTCCTGATGCGGACTCTGGAGTTGTCCTCTGCAGGTGTCCCGCCCTCCGCGTATCAGACTTTTCTTGTTCGACTTCCCTATTTCATGTTACTGCTGAGTTTATTTTTGCATTGCCCCGTTCCAGCTCTCCTCTGCCTGCCTCCGTCCTGTAGTGTGGTGTCTTTCCAAACCAGGACATGTGGTTTATGTGTGCTTCCCATACCCTGTTTTATTTTCAGTGCTACAGCTTCTATCGTTGTGTTCCAAATTATTCTGACAATTTACTCTAGAACCACATTTGATCCGTTATTATTATTCAGACTGGTTTTTCTTTTGCACATAGTTTATTTCATTGCCAGTTTAAAAACTGCTATTTCTTTTTCTTTCCTGAGGTATGCTTCTTTAAAACTTTATTAGCCTTTCCAAGCTAGTTTATTTTGTGTAGTTTCTCCCTGTGATGCTTCTTTTTATTCTGAAGCACAAACTAGCTATTTATTTGTTAGAGTTTTTAGTAACAGGCAAGATGTTGTTCAACTGCTGTATCTAATCATGTTTGCATACTAGAGAGATGTAGAAGTACACCTGGCAGCATGCATTCAAGGAAAGTTGAGTGTCCACTTGTTCAGTAAATGAATATATTCTAGTGACTGATGTTGTAAAGTTGCAATGGAAATATTAATTGCAGTACTGTAGTTCTCTGTAACTGAGATATTTTCAGACTTTTGTATTACTGATGGGAAATTAAGCTTAATCTGTGACAACTATGCAGCTGTTACTCCCGATTTCAACTAGGCAAAATGCTAATATAAGAATATATGTAGTGTTGGGGGCTTAATTGTTTATATTTATGAATATTTTGTTGAGAATTCATCTGGACACCGGTTTTGTATTGCTTTTTTTTCATTATAGTATCTACCATACTTGGGAGAACATAAAACAGGTGAAAAAATGTCCTTTTGTAAGCAGTTCAGAACTAAAATACTGCATATAAGGCAGTCACAGCAAAAAGGGGAAGAGCTATAAGAGGGAAGGGTGCTTGTGATTACATCTACAATGTGTATTAAAGGTTATATGAAAAGGTAGGAAAGTCTTCAGGAGGGTTTTGAATAAGTTGAGCCTTTACAAACCGGTTTGGAGGTGGCTTTCTATCCATAATGGGATGTATTCCTTGTATAGTGTTCTCATGTTATCTTTCTCTTCCTAGAATGCCGAAGTCAAAAGAACTTGTGTCTTCAAGCTCATCTGCCAGTGATTCAGATAGTGAAGTTGACAAAAAGGTGAACATTATATGCAGTTTATAACTACTGTATTAACTGTTATATTTCAGGCAGGGGTTAAGGAATTAGTTGAGTGTTATGTCACAAAATGACATATGATTTATCTGACGCTTAAACCCCAAACACCCCCTCCCAACCCCAAACCAAACCCCAAAAAAACCACCCCCCAAGCTTATGGTTTGGGTGGATGCTTTTTGCTTTGCAGTACACTTTATTCTTAAGGTGCATTTTGCTTCATGTTTTTCTGTATGGTATATTTAGCCACAAGCTTCCTGGAGTTCTTTGCTGTTTTGTGGCAAGTGATAGACAGCTTCTGTATAAGCTGCCTCTGGTGGCAAGAATTTGAACTAATTTTGAGGACACTGCCCCACCTTCATTTTGATATCTGGATTACTTGCAAGTCCAAAACCAAAATGTCCACTTGCCTTGTTATCCATGTGCCACTTGCTTATCTCGCTCACATTCTTTTTTATGTTTCAGAGTCTTATCTTTACTGTAAGACTATCTGCTAGTTTCTCACTAAAAAACAGAGCCAACCAGAATGTTTCTGAGTTGATAATTTTAACATTACCTGTTTTAAATGCATAAATGTAATGTTTTCATTTAGTTTAATAATTATTTAATTTATAAATTTGTATAGATGTGTCAGTCATTGCAAACAAATTGAATACAACAGTCAATTTATCTTTTTAATAAATGCTAGGTGGTAATGCAGACATTGGGTCTTTTAGTGCGCTTTGCAAAGAGACAATCTGATTTACTGAACTGGTTCAAATATGAAAATGTGACTTGCTTGCACATAGCAAATTAGATATTTTGTGAAATCTTAATATAAGAGAAAATGACCAGGTGATTTTTTTTTTTTTTTTTCTGGAAATGTATTCCTAATAAGACATAGTGTAACAATCAACTTCAGTGGGCAGTAAGGTGATTGGTTTTGGTTTTGTTTTTTTTCTATGACAACATCCGGTATTTTTTTGAGCTGTTTGTCTTTAAAAGAGATTATTTACAATATGATTCTAGCAGGTGAGAATAATTTTTGGTATCTTTGCATTATTCTTCCTTTACAGTGGGCATGATTACTATATCACCATTAGTGGAAATGTAGCATGCTCTAGCATCGGCTAACAAAGTAATCTGATTTGCAAGTGATATTGCCTCAATGTTTTAAAAAAATGTTTAATTTATCATGCTATGAACAGAGATTTGACTTCAATTAACAAAGTTCTCTTGGATTTGATTTTTCAAATCCTTTTTTTTATTATCTTATCTATTTTTTTTTTACCAGAGTTGTTAGCTGTTCCCCATTTTTCATTGTACTTTCTGGAAAATGAAACTTCTATCATACTTTAAAATTTTAATTAAAACTGACAGTATTACTGCACAAAGAAAGTAGGCTTTTTGAAATGTATTTTCACAGAATCACTCAGTTGGAAGAGACCTTCAAGATTATAGAGTCTAACCCATGCCCTAATGCCTCAACTAAACCATGGCACTGAGTGCCACGTTGAGTCTTTTTTTAAACACATCCAGGGATGGTGACTCCACCACCTCCCCGGGCAGACCATTGCAATACTTATCACCCTTTCCGTAAAAATCTTTCTCCTAATATCCAACCTCTATTTCCCTTGGCACAGCTTAAGACTGAGTTTTGAATTTTGATCTAATTAAATTTCTCTTTAAAGCCAAATTATTATGGTAAGCTTCACTGAGAACAAAAATAGGCTAATTTGAAGTTTTTTTTTTTTGGCTCCAGTCTAAATGTACAGTATTGTATTCCTGCCCTCACAGGAGGAAGGTGTTAATACATATTGCATAATAGTTTGTGACCTCTAACATAATTTTTTTTTATAACTTATAAAATGAGTTGTGATTTATGAGTTTTTTTTTATTCTTGCTCCAAGGCAAAGCGGAAAAAGCAAGTAGCTCCAGAAAAGCCTGTTAAGAAACAAAAGAGTGGTGAAAGTTCAAAAGGTGCAGCTTCTTCTAAGCAAAGCAGTAACAGAGATGAGAATATGTTTCAGGTAAAATTGATGACTCTCTTAGAGCCTGGTTAAGGTAACCATTTACATAATAATCTGTATAAATTTTATGAGGCTATGTGGATATCATGATAGCATTGTGCTTGGTCTCCTGAAATCTTGGCTGAAGGGGATTACGATGCTAGCATGCAAGATGAGATGCTGAGAAAAAGCACTGATTGGTTTCAATAGAGTAAAAGAATCAGAGTTGTGGTAATTGATTCTAACTCTCATGTCTTTGCATGTGGTAATTCTCTGTGTAGTCATTTTGTCTGTAAATATTAGATCAGGACAGTCTTGGAAACCCAAAATATGGACTCTTAATTCTTATTTAGCTAGGTCAAGGGAATTTGGCTACTGTCTTCTAAGACAGTATCTTGGAATAAGCTTTGCTCATTCTTTTATGATGCAGGTTTTTCTCACTGAAAATCCAAAAATATTTCAATTTTTGACATTGTCAAAATAGGATGAATGTACATTTTTTCAGTAGCCACAAACATTTGTGAGTTCAGGGTATTGCATGTCCCATGGTTAGCTGAAGAAGCAATGTATCCTGAAAGCTGTGCAAGAATATGCATAGCTCAGAATTCCTTTTTTTAGGGGTGTGGATCAAGACTTATTAAACGCCTGACTAGCTGGTTTGAAAAGGGGAGCATGGGATGAGAAAGGGACTTAAATTCTTAGACTTTGATTCTTAAGTTTGTGAAAAGTTATGTGAGAGGTGCCTAATAAGATGGTTCCAGCACTGAATAAGGTAAAATAAATGGGTTTGGGCTGTACCTGTGCAAAGTAATATGTGGGGGGAAACTAGTGAAAGCCTGTGTCAATTTTCACTTTCCTGTGTATATATAGTTGGAGGGAGAGCTTCAATTTAAGACCCTGGGCATAACTGCTTGGACTTGTACATTTAAGGAAGAATATAATACTTTTAGTTCTGCTGGGGCATGCTTTGATCCATATAGGAAAAATGATAGTATCTTCTGCATCTAATGAGAGGAACTGCATTTAGAACTCAAATATAAAGCCTATATGTTTGGGATTTTTTTGTAATAGGTTCAGAAATTGCAGCCTTGGGGAAAAGTTAATTTTAATGCCCTCCTTATGAAAAAAAAAAAAAAAAAGGAGAAAAAAACCAAAAAACAAAGCAACATAGCAAACCACCATAACCGAACCAACTAATGCAAAAAAACTTTCAAATAAAAGCAAAACTATTTGTGTGCTCTGATTTCTTTCAACCTTTTTTGACTCAAGGTAATAAGTTACTAAAAACAGACAGTAGAGGACATATATTACTCTAAGAGCAGGATTCTTCCAGTGTTGACTACAATACAGAAAAAAATTTCACTATCACCCTGACTTAAACCATCAATGTTCCTAAGTTTCTGCCTGCTTTTAGTTTCTCAACAACAAAAGTTTTTTTAGATTGTTTGTTGTGTTATGTGCGTTCTTTTTTCATGCAACATCAGCTTATGTGTGTTAACCAAGATGTACCTGTTTCAGTGTAGAAATAGCACTGTAGGTCTGAGAATGCTCCCCTTCTCTCCTTTCTACCCAAGAGAGCATGCTCAAGATCTAGTTGCATGTTAATTTTGGAGGTATTATTTTGTTTTTTCTAGGAATATTAACAATACTAGAATCTCTCCTTTCTGCTTCCCCATGGTAATAAAAATGATCTGTGTGCAAGTGATTTTGCAGCATAACTTACAAGTATGTCTTCAGTTGATGGAAATGAGGCTGTAAAGCATTCATATGATAGTCAGAAATTCTGTGACATCCATATTGTGTGTGGGAATGATAGCAACTGACATGAAACTTAGTGGTTTGCTGTTCTACACCTTTGGGCTGTGTTCTTAAAGTATACAACTTCCTTTAATATTGAACTCGTTGTGACTGCTGTATTTAGAAGATTGAGCATTTTCATAAAGATCTACACTTTATTTTTGTTTGAAACTAATGTTGGTATAATGGTATTCTTGAAACTAATTATGAAGAATAAAATAATTGTAAGAAGAAGGGAATTAAGTATAAGAGACCAAGTATGTTTTATTTATTTGCATCATGGTCTTTTAAGTTTTATAGGTAGCCTAGTATACTCTGGAATTTATTAAAGGATTTGAGTACAGTTGGGTTGTGGAACTTTACTCCCATTTGTGATGTATTACTAGAGGCCCTAAGGACAAGCATTATTCATGTTACATTGGATTCCTGTCTGTGGCTTCAAGCCAATGTGAGTTGTTCATCATGTACCTTGGTTAGTTTGACAAATCCCGTCATCTACCTATGCCTGATTTGGATTAGGTTTGTTAATGCTGATGGGTTAAAGTGTTAATTATCCAGAGTGGAACCACATTACATGATTGGGCATTTCACAGGAATTGTTTCCTGAAAAGGAGTTTGCCTGTTGCATATGGGCCTCACTCCCCCCTCCCCCCCTTTATTTAAGTTTGGGTAAAATTTGCTTTTTTCACTCGTGAGAAATAAGTTCTTCAGTTTCCTGGTGTAATGTCTTTACCTATCATAGGCTCCTGAAAGTAGATAAGTAAGTAGGTAATATATGCTTGTGATGCCCTTGAATGTGTATTACAGGGACCTGTTGAAGGTCTCCATGGTGAGAGAAAGACAAGAATCTTGTTTCTTGATCAGAAGGCTGGATTTATTGATATATGATATATAATACATTATAACTATACTAAATAGAATAAAGAGAGAAGTTGCAGAGGCTGCTCAAAGCTGAGCTAAGAATAGAAATAAAAATCTACAACAAAGTTGTGTCCAGGGACTCTGTCCCCAGCTTGCTCCTGTGATTGGCCTTTAATTATAAACATGGGAACATGAGCCAATCACAGGTGCATCCCATTGCATTCCACAGCAGCTGATAACAATTGTTTACATTCTCTTTCTGGGGGCCCTTGCTTCCCAGAAAACGAACAAGTCCCAAAGAAAGGATTTCTGTGAAAAAATGTCTGCGACAAATGTGATTGGTTGTGTGTCATTATTTAGCGATAGTATTCTCCAATTTAGTCCTTGCACTAAAAAAAACCCGCCCATGTGACACTCCTTCTTCCCTTCCTGTCCAATTGGAGGCACAAAAGGCAAAGATCATGGGTTGACATAAGAACAATTTACTGGAAACAGCAATGAGCTAAGAAAATGAACAGTAACAACAATTATGTTAATAACAAAAGTGTACAAAAGAAATTATTTACATGGAAAGCCCCCAGCAAGAAACAATACCAGATAGCTCTCCTGCCATGTTTTCTTGACCGGAAGAAGCCCCCTTTCCTGGGAAGCGACAGTCCCTTTCCCCTGCTTCTAGCAATGATGAGAAGTGATATGGAATAACCTCCCTGTCTTGGCCATGCCATCTCATGGCTACTTCAAAAATTAACTCTATCCTGACTGGAACCAGGACATTGTGAAATGCATCAGTGATCACATAAGTTTCAGAATTAATTTGTTAAACCAATTTGCTGTATTACAGATCTCTGCTGTGTGCAGGACTCTATTCTAGAAGTTTATATTAGCTTATTGAGGTTCTTCTAATGCTATACATATGGTAAGGGAAAACAAATTTTTTTTTGCTGTTTTTTCTCCAACAATATACATACAGTTTAATCAAGGGAAAGAGGAAGAAAAATGGTGAAGAAGATGGTTGCTGAAACTCATACAGGAAGTCAATTGCATAGCTGTGAAACGAACCTAGACACAGTTCAGTGCATTTTACTGTCAACAATGGAAACCTGGAAATAATGCTTTTAATATTTTGTGTTTAATTTAATAGAATAATATGTCAAAGGAGCTGTAATATTTAATAGAAAGCTGACATGTTTTAACCCCAGCCAGCAACCAAGCACCGCACATCCAAACAAGGAATTAATTCACTGTTTCCCATGGGCAGGCAGGTGTTCAGCCATCTCCAGGGGAGCAAGGCCCCCATCATGTGCAACAGTGACTTGGGAAGTCAAACTACATCACTCCAAACATCCCCCTGTTCCTCCTCCTTCCCCCTATTTTATATATTGAGCATGATGTCACATGGTCTGGAATATCCCTTTGGTCGGTTAGGGTAACCTGTCCTGGCTGTGTCATCTCCCAACCTCCCATGCACCCCCAGCCTCCTTGCCATTGTGGCTGTATGAGTACCAGAAAAGGCCTTGGCTCTGTGCAAGCCAAACTTTCTGGGAAGAAAATAAATAAGCCAGCCAAAACCAGCAGAAAAGCATATGATTTTGTTTTTGAAGGTTGAACTGCAGCAGCTACCCTGCTAATAATTAATGCAGCCCTTGGAATATTAATGTGTTGTTACAGAGATACAAAGGTGTCTTAGAGGAGTGAAATTATTTTAGGTCTATCAACTGCTGCGTGGAAAAAGAATTTATCAGAAATGGCTCAATGCCAGAATTGCAGGTAACTGAATGTCAGGAAACATTACTTTGCTTAGCCAAAATCTAGGTTTGAATTTTTTTAAACAGTACTTTGAAAACCTATATAAAGCTTTTCAGCAGTGGCAACAATTTTGTATTGAGTTTACCTAAACATTTGAAATTTCATGTGAGTATTCAGCTGAAATCTAGACAGTGGTGTAAAATCTAACAATTTTAACATTTTCATATGGAACTGTTTACATTTAAGGTAGACTTACTGACTGAATAAATGTTGTGTACTTTGTATTATTGCCCCTCACCTTACTGTAGTTGAATTAAGACATGTAGCCTTATCTTTAATAGTCAAATTCTGCATCATTTTACTGTATTTGCAGCTCTAATCTGCTATTTTGTATCAGATTTTTTGTTTAAATCTGGAGTTACTTGGCAGTAGACTAATAGTCTTTGATAGATCTGGGGGGGGAAAAAAGGTGTTCAGGAGTACTACTGCTTGAAGCTGGTCTATAGATGACCTTAAAAGTCACTGAAACATTAGAAGGAAAACCAATAAATGTTGTTCATGTAGACTGTTTAGGATATCCTTTTCCAGCAGTACTGATGGACTTGGACATGCTACTAAGTTTGGTCTAAAAGAACTCGGCTACTGTGACATAATACCTTATTTTTGAATGTTAAATTTGTAGTGCTGTGAAAGTATTTAATAAATAAATCACAAAATACTACCTTATAAACTTTTTTATTTTAAAGGATGCTTTGAAGTAGGAAAACAACTGCTTCAGGCTTATGGTATTTAAAGAGGTCCTAATTATTTTAAAATAAATTTTAGAGTTAAAATAGCATGATCTGCATAAGAAGAAAAATTAGTTTAAGCAAGCACAAAGCCTATTTATGTATATTTTGTGAAATAACAACTTTTATGACTTTGTTTTGCTGGTAGGTAGGGTCAGCACCAGACACCGACGCCAACTTAAGGAGTAGTGTAATTTTCTGTAATGCAATACTGCAAAGAATTACAAAAGAATAAGCTAAGCAATGCACCTAATCATTACTACAGACGATTGCCTATAGTGATTAAGAAAGATACATCACCAGTTGCCCTAATACTTTACCCCTGCACCCAGATATCCTTTAATCATCAGCTGGGGGAAGCTGTCACAGCGAAGGACTGGAGAACCACTCCCAGTAACTGGGGAATTCTGTGGTACATCCACCTTGCAGGCAAAGAGGCTTCTGATTTTGCTGTGAGAGGAGCCCAGCTTTTATAATATACAAGCTACTATTACTTCTAATGTGGGAACATCTGTTTTTATTCTCCTGTTGGGTTTCTCCCTAAGCCTGGCTAGGGCTCAAGGAGGAACCAAGGGAGTTGTCTTTGATCCTACACCCCAGACAAGACCAGATGTGGCATTGACCAGTTTCTAAATACAGAAAGATAAATACATGTTTTGCCAAAGAGTGGATACATATATCATATTGCTAATAATACGTCATTTATAAATGGATACATATACATTTGGTTGGAAGGTTCATCTAGAGGTCAAATTTAGTTCAGGGCCTGTTGTTTGGGCCTTAGTACTTCAGATTTAAACATCTGTGAATGATTTTAGTTGACTGGAGAGTTGCTCATGCTTTCTGGTTAGACTTTATGCTAGTAAGATATGTTTTGTCTCCTGTTTAACTATGTCAAAGTGCAAGATGTGTAAATTAAATAAGGTGAAAACTAAAACTAATGTTTTATCAGGAAGGAATATTCCTTTTTAAAAATTGTTTATGTGTGTTTTCTTCACTAGGTGGGTCCAGGAGGTACATAGAAAATACTAAGAATTTTTTACATGAGTTGTTTGACTGTGCTTTTATTATTATCAAATTTCTCATTCTCAAATTCACATTATATTTTGAATTTATGTGAACAAATAGTTTTTTAAATCAGTCTTTTTCAAATTTGATAAAGCCTAAATAATGTAACATATAGTATGCCTGTTGTCTCTTTTCCCTTTGCCCTTTCTTTGGAGAATTAAAAAAAAGCCCTCATAATTCAGTTAAGCCACTGCATGAAAATCTGATATTTCAAAGTCATTTCATACCATTGCTGTGTTGGTAAGCTAAAGTATTTGAATAGGGGTCTTTTTGGGAACATTTGGTACAGTCTTTTAACCACAGTTCCAAGAAAGTGTCTCAATGAACCAGCAGAAGCAGGCATGGGGCAGTTGGTGGCTTACTTCTGTTTCCATCTGTATTTACTATGTTTTAAAAAATAAAAAAAGAAAAAAAAAAAGAGAGGGGGGGGAACAAGTTAAAAATTGGGCCCATCTCATGTGAATATCTAATTTGATTTCTGTACCTATGGAATGGACTAAAACTTAGATTTGGCGGTAGAGCGTAGAGCGCCTTCTTCCCCGTTTGTTTACAACAGCTACTAAAAAAGATGGTTATAACAGACCCAAAAATTTATTTCAGAAAACAGTAAATTAGTGGGTTTTATAAGATGTAAGCTTGTTAAGAAGACAAGTATTTTCTTGTTCTAGGAGAGAGCCACTTTGAGCATTGCATGCTGAATATTCAACAGGTTTTAAGTCATTAATGTATTTATATTGACATTACTTATTTCCCTACTGATTGCTCTGGATTAAGCTCTTGATCTAGTTGTTTTACTGGTGTCTAAAATAAGCTGAAGTGTGCAATGTCGCATGTACGTGTCTGATACTGCTGGGAAAAGTGAATGCTGTAATACATAAAATACCTAAAAAATATCCTTATGTGTGTTTTGACAGATTGGCAAAATGAGGTACGTCAGTGTTCGTGACTTTAAAGGAAAAGTCTTAATTGATATTAGGGAATATTGGATGGATCAAGAAGGTGAAATGAAGCCTGGCAGAAAAGGTATTGTTTTGCTTCATGTTATTTTGTACTAAAACATTGTCTGCAGTTTGCTGGAGATCTTTGTGTATCAGATTTCTATACTTTGTTACTACATGGTATTTTTAGAGTAATATTTTTACTTATTAATGATTCACATTTTAACATATAATTAGTTTTATCAGTTGACTGTAAACAAAAGCAAAGTGGTTTCATTGGCCTGAGTCTGTTTTCCCAAATAATTCCCCCATAATTTATGGAAAACAAGGCATCAAATACAAACAGATTTGGTATGGGAGTTACATACATAGCCATACATTTTCCCTTTAATTACCTTCACTTCTTCCTTTTATTACAATTAGATTTCCATATTGGTTTTTGAGTGCTAGGGAGTGGTAATAGTCTCTCCAAAATGTTACTTATAGTTTGTTATTCACAATGCTTTAAGAAACATGAGGGGAAAAAACCCCCAGAATTATGGTTCTTTAAAAGTGTGTAGAAGTTTAGTCCACAGAGGTATGGCTTTTAGAAGTCAACGGGAATACAGTTGATTTCCTTGTTTCTTTTGTACTGCCTTCTGTCAAGGCCAGCACCTAATTTCTGTGTTTAGCCTAACACTTGTAAATGCATTTTTTATACTGCACTAATTTTCTTTGCAAGGAGATAAGCTAAGGTCTGAAGTGTTCCAAGTGAGTAATTTCTTTGTAACCGAGGTGGTTGTTACACTTGAGGTATGTTAAGCATTATTAATCTTGACATACACTGTGTATGAAACCAGCCTTGACAGTAACTGTGCACGATTCTGCACTACAATTTTTTTTTTCCCTAAGTATTTCTTTTTAATGCATTTCAGGTATTTCTTTAAATCCAGAACAGTGGAACCAGCTGAAGGAACAGATTTCTGATATTGATGATGCAGTGAAAAAACTGTAAATACAGAGCTATACAGAAACCTTTTATTATTTCAGTTGCTTTAAGTGGTCTTTTTACATTGGCATTTGTTTTCTAAAATATTGTTTTCCAAGCTATTGTATATTTATTTGGATTACTAAATGATTTGTAAAATGAATACTTTATGTGCATTAAAAGTGTATTCTGAATGAGGCTATTTGTGTATACATTACTAAAAGGAAATGTGTTGCTTTCACCTCATAGTATAAAATAAAAAAATCAAATAATATGTAAAGCATAGATGTTTATGGCCTTTTGATTGAAGATGATGGTAAGGTTGCCTAATAGCTTTAATTATGGCTTTAGTTTAATTGACCATTAATGTGATATTTTTTTCCTGAGATTTCCCTAAGTGTCTCCATTTTAATGTTTTTTCCTTTTATTTCATACTCTTTAGTATTGCCCTGGCAGCTTTTAGCTTTTAGACTTGATACAAACAGTGAATACCTGGTAAAACTAATTTTTGTAGATAATTTTAAATACTGTATTTGCTAATTTACTGTATTTATTCAAATGTAAACAGTCCTGAGTATATAGACTATTTTGCATTACTTGCATGAAGTGTTATGCTAAACAATAACATTTGAAAACAAGCCACACACTATTTCTTCCCATTTTTCTATAGCTTGATTGACTTAGAAAATACAGTTAGCTTTTTTTCTTAGACCCTAGATTTTGAATGTGATCGTGACAGGACCTTTCATCCCCTGACACAGCAAAAGGCTTCTCTACTTTCCCCATGGCTAAGCTAGGCCAGAATGGTTTGTCTTGTGATGAATTATCTCAGCTGAAAACACCCTTAGTCAGCAATAAACATCCTTCCTTGAATGGTGGGAAAGGATAAGCCGCAAATAAGTGACTGACAGACAAGCACTTTTTACAACTATACAAGACCACTATGATTTTCATGAAATCAGAAATCTCTTATACATTTTCTGAGTGTGTAAAGAATTCTCGACGTGGAGATGTTCACATTGAGATACTTCCCTGGGACTGAGAGTAATTAGGAGATTCTTTGCACACCACCATGATTTGTTGGTAAGTGACATTGGCTCCTAATCAATTCTCCTAATCTCTTCTACTATTTCTTCACTAGCTGTAACATAGATTCCTTTACTATTCTGCACTATATTTTATCTACTAGTAGTTCTTTTTGTGTTATCCTGTGTAGTAAGTAGTCTGTTTAAAGTCTTATGTCTGTTTTCCTTGGCCTGTTCAATAAACAATTCATGTTGTAATAGGCCTGATTAGTCATTATTACGAATTTGCGAGCAAGAGTGGGTTTTGGCGTGCTGGCCGTCTCAATAAAGCTGCTGTCTACTGCCAGAAACCTGGAAATGCACTTGTCTAACCTTTCCCCTCTCATTCATAACAGTGATGCATAAACTTTTACAGTAATGGACCTATACCTCAGAGTAAGATAGTATTTAAAAGCTGTAAATGACAGTATTGTATAAACAATGGTGTTTAAACTAGGCTATAACACAGATTAAACAATCAAAGGGAGTTAAGATTGCTTTAGCCAAGACAGCTGGCTATCATGTTTCTGCCCTACCCACACTGCCTACCCAAACCATTTAACTTGGCTTGCCTTGTGTGGCTTACATGCGCACAACTGTTTTATATTTTGTACAGAAAGTACTTGGTGCTTACAATGGAACACTGGTACACAGTGGATCATTACTGTAGTGAACTTGGCTTGTCTACCAGTGTGCTATTCTGGTAAGAGAGTCTTCTGCCCACTGGAAGTTCTATTAGACTAGATGCTGCTCCAGATGAAGGGCTTCTTGGTAGGTGTCACAAACTATGAAATGAAGAAGGAAGACTATGATGTTCGAGTAGAACTTGGAGTGATAAGGGGCATTCCAGTGCAGAAGTTAAAGGTGACAGATCAAAGTTAGCTGACAATAATACCTACAGTGAAGAAATGTGTTAGCAGAATTGGATAAGAGTTTTTCTGACTTAATTCAGTTAATCAAAGGAAGATCATAGAATCATACAATAGTTTAGGTCAGAAGGTGCCTTTAAAGGTCATCCAGTCCAGCCCCCCTGCAATGGGCAGAGACATCTTCAACTAGATCTTCACAATCCAATCTGACCTTGAATGTTTCCAGGGATGGGGCGTTTACCACCTTTCTGGGCAAAACTATTACAGTGTCTTGCCACTCTAATTGTAAGAAAATTCTTCCTTATAGCTAGTCAGAATCTCCCCTCTTTTAAAACCATTGCCCCATATCCTATCACAACAGGCCCTACTAAAAATCTATCCCCATCTTTCTAATAGTCTCCCTTTAAGTACTGAAAAGCTGCAATAAGTTCTCCCTGAAGTCTTCTCTTCCCCAGGCTGAACAGCCCCAACTCTCTCAGCTTTTCCTCATAAGAGAAGTATTCCATCCCTATGATCATCTTTGTAGCTCTCCTTTAGACCTGTGTGTTTGGATTTGAAACAGCTTAATGAAAATTGACATTTCAGGACTATGTAGTAAATATAACAATTTCTTGGCTCAGCTGTAATTTTCCAATTTGATGTTAAATTTATTGTATTTTTTCAAGTGTGTGCATAATCAGGATTTACTATTTGTTTATTTTTTGAATATTTTAATATAATTGTTTATATTGCAAACATGCATGGAAGTCCTATTCTCCTAAGTGTCATACACAGACTCTTCCTGTACTGCAGGGTTTATAATTCAATAGAAATGGATACGGAAGGATAAGGAAATATGACTAAATCAAATATATATAATTTAATAATATATAATTTAATTTTAACTGTTATGTCAGATGCTTCTACCCACTTTTTAACTTACCCATTGTTGACATATTTAAAATAAAGTTAAGCTATGTTTTAGTATGGCTCAGTAAATTGGAGTTTTAAAAACTGCTCAAGGGTGAATAAAAGCGTGAAGAGATGTTTTGTGGTAGTAGCTGTATTTTTGGGGCACAGCATTCTTTTGGAGTGACTCTTATTGGCATGTCACGGTATTTGGATGAAATAGAAAAAGTATGAAATATCTGCTAAAATTTTCAGATGAGTGTATAAAAGAAATTGCTTCAGATCACTATCAACAGATTCTAGGTGTAGTTTTTATTTGTGGTAGGTGTGTATGTATGATTTTTATTTTCCTTTAAGTCTGAAATTTTGCAACCAGATTTAACCCATTTTTACTTCAAAAGTTTCATATGGCCACTCTAAACTGCATGATTATTATAATAGAGGGAACATTGTCCTCAACTACTGTGGTAGTAGGTCATTGGATGACAGTTGCGTACAATAAAATTGTGTTCAAGAATGCGGAGAAGTAAATAAATTAATTTTGGGGGAGTAAGTGGAAAAGTTTTCATAATAGTGATTAGTTGTTTTGTAGAAACTGATGGTAGAGATGTTCAAAGAAATTAGTATTTGTTAATCAAGATGTCTTAAGTTGCAAATGCAAGATGTGGCTGGGAATGTGTATTCTATTGCCATCTGTTAGAACCAGGTGGAGGAGTTATCTTCTGTTAATGGGGCAGTTTTCTTCATCTCTTCCACAACCAATCCTCCTTCTGGGGAGATATTTTCTGTTAATAGGCCATTGAGTCTCACTGCATGACTGATAAAATGCTATCATCCCATTGGGAGATGCTCCACCCAGGGGGAGAAGCTAAGCATTCCTGCCTGGATATAATCTGAGATTTAAAGCACCACAGTCAACCTTTTCCCACTGGATTCCCAGAGGAAGACCAAGCCCATTTACACTGTCACTGGACCTTCAGAGGAAAACTACATCCTTTCTACAAGATCAGTGTTTCAACAGAACTACATCTATCACTCCAAGAGGACTGCAGCTACCATTTAATTGGACTGCTACCAACACCCTGACCAACAGGGTGTCAGGTTGTATTCTGACCCTGTCAGTGTTGTTTTGTATTACTTCATTTTTATTTTTATTTTTTCCCTAATAAAAACCTGTTATTCCAACTCCCATATCTTTGTCTGAGAGCCTTTTAATGTCAAAATTATAAAAATTTGGAGGGAAGGGGTTTACATTTTCCATTTCAAGAGAAGCTCCTGCTTTCCTTAGCAGACACCTGTCTTTTCAAGCCAAGACACGAGAACTATTAGTTCCTCTTATAACACTCTTGCTTAATTTGTGATTATAATTGAGAAAACTTGTCACAATTTGATTTTTCTTAGCTTGTATGCTTAAAAAGTTTACCATCTGACAGTTATATTTCTACCTCTAATAATAATAAAATATCATTTTACCTGAGCCAGTCTTAAAGTCTGCATGATTGTCACTGGAAATATGCACCCTCCAACTAATTTTATTAATGTTCAAATAAAAAAATCATTAAATGGCATCTGTGCAATAGCAATTAGAATGCTTGGAAATAAATTAAGACTTTTGTTCACATAGTGTTATTTTTAACAAGAATTTAGCTGCACTACAACTTATTTTTTTAATAGCTGTTTTCACAACAATTTGTTTCTTGCAACTGTTGTAGTTTAGAAATTTGAAAACTTAATCATCTAATACTTGGTCCATGTTTGTGGGTGGGTGGTTGCTTTTGTTAGCCGAGTTTTTCATTATGATAGAAGAACAAATGTCCTGTGAAGATAGAAGCAGTAGATATAAACACACTTTGAACACCAAACAGTAGGAAAGCACCTGATAAAGTGCTATTGTGAAGAAAATGGCTGGTTAGCTTTTGAGTGGTGTTTCTTTTTGGTCTGATAATAAATGCAACCATAGATTAGATAGATAAAATGGGTGAGAAGCTGTTTTCTATCATTGGTCATAGATTAATGTGGGCTTCTTGAGGAAGGATATTTGTTTTTCACATGCTTGCTATGACTGATCTGTAGGGAGGGGGATTAACTGTAACCTTGAATTAAACAGACTTCTTCAAGTAATTGTGATTAGTTAAGCAATTTAGAGTCACAGAATCAGAAATTAGCTTGACTCAAAGGGAAGACATACAGTTTGGGGTTGATGGAG